TTTTTTGGAAAAATAACAGCCCGATGACTTTGTCTTTTCCTTCGCAATATTTCATCTAATAATTGGGAGCAGCGGAAGAGCTGCCCCATTTTAATTTCACCGCGGCTTCCAGGCGCGGCGTCGCGCCGCGATGACGGCGTCGAGTTGCTGGCGTGGATCGACACGTTAGATGCATAACACACACGTCGAAACTCTCTAACAATAAATCTTAACTTACTCCCACTCAAAGTTCGTGTGTATCACCTTCTATGGGTATTTGCTCTATCCATAACCAGACATAACTGTTTATTATTTATCAGGGTAATTTGTTGCATCCGACCTAGTATGTCTGGCGGTTTGTGATGAACTCCGCCCTGCATCAAACAGGACTAATGTTTTTGAGAAGCGCCATCGAAAGAATCCTTTCGGATCGCGATATCAAACGAAAAGAGAACTTACAGTTGAAGAAAGCATGCGAGAACGTTCTAGGTACGTCAACACTAACTTTGAATTGGTTACATCTGCTTTTTTCTATCAAACTTCTTGAATATCACTGGTCATTTCATATTTCTCTCACTTTTTAGAGGAGTTGAAAGGCGAAAATTACGCCAGTGATAACAATAATGGCGAAGTTTTGCCGGACAAAGAACGCATTGTGGAGGCTGATCGCTATTTTTTGCCATTTGAATTAGCATGTAAATCGAGAAGTCCCAAGATTGTAATAACTGCCTTAGATTGCCTTCAGGTAAGCCTTTTTCTTACCGGCTTTAAATTTTAATCTAGCTGATTATAAACACCTCTTTTGAAAGAAGAGGTAGTAGAAGCATTAGGAATATCATACTCAAATCATCGGTGACATAATAATAACAGTCCAAGGTTGTATATCATGCTTTGCAAAAGTATTATAAAAACAAGACGTGTTTATCAAAGTGAAGTTTTGGTTCATATCTATCGTGCGATACCTACTCATTTCTCTATCTTTCAGAAACTGATAGCATACGGTCATCTAACCGGGCGTGGGGCCGATTCATCAAATCCTGATCGCAAACTGATTGACCGCATTGTAGAAGCTATTTGCTCGTCGTTTATAGGTCAAGGAACTGACGAAGCTGTATTATTACAAATAATCAAGGTAAACTTTGCACAGAAAACGAAAGGGAAAAATATCAAGTCAAAGCTATTTTAGGCTATTCTTGCTGTTGTGCTTACTAACAATTGCGAGGTGCATGAAGGTTCTCTTCTACTTGCTGTTCGGACATGCTTCACCATCTTTCTCGCCACAAAAAGTCCTATCAATCAGTCAACGGCTAAAGGAACGCTGACCCAGGTGAATAAGAGTGAACACAATTCTTTCATTTATGTGAACATTACAGTAGCCTTTCCTGATACCTTTTGAGGTCTAATTTTTGGATTTTTCCTCAAATATTTCATTTGAACGGGCTTTGTTAGTCAATTCTGATTTGAAAGTTAATTTTTATTCCAAATGTGTAATGAAGAGAGATTCCTTAGTTGACTGTTGCCATACAAGAGAAGTAACCGGTCCTTAGTCTCATTAATGGTGATGCAACAATGAAACAAATGCATTAAAGAGTATTGCATTGTGCGTCATATAAAGTATTAATGAGATTCAATCGAACAAGAAGCATCTTTGTGACGGCGGCCTCCTAACATGAGTAATTTTCAATGTATATGTAAGTAAAAAATTCTAAAAGGGTTAAATTCGTTGCTCATATTCTCGACCAAATTAGATTAACAAAGAGATCAGCGAAATTATTGTTTGAGACTTTCAAATCGTTACTTTGAGAGTATCGAAATTTGGTGTTATATCCTTAGATTTGAATTACATTGAATCAATATCTCTTAATTATCTTCGTGTTAGGTTATCAATGCTGTGTTTGCCAACATGGAGCGAGTGGGGAACACGAAAGATGATTCGGTCATTGTTCATGAGGTTGTTGAACACCTTGTCTCATCCGCCGTAAACATGGCATTAGAAGGGGTGAGTGCACTTTTTTTTGCCACTGGTGATTTTTGCTTATCATTCCACAATCTGATAATCTGATTATTGATGTCATCATTGTTTTTTTAGAACGATGAGGTTGAAAGTCGCAGTGGTCGCGGAGGTGCAGGGGCGTCGACGATTTGGGGTGAAAATGATGGTGCACATGCGGAAGATCAGATTACTTTTCCTAACGTAGAACAAAAAGATGCTTTCCTGGTATTTCGTGCTCTATGCGTTTTGGCTCAAAAAGACGAGGGCGATGTTAATGATCCACGGTAAGATTTTGATTTCTATAATATCTCCTTTCAATCATTTTTAATTCTTTTTAGAAACACACACTTGAATTCCAAAATGTTAGCATTGGAGATGTTGTTATTGGTGCTACAAAACTCCTCAACAACTCTCCAAAATGCTCAGCCTTTCACATTGCTTATTAGAAAGTCATTATGCGTTGCTCTTTCTCGTAACGCAGTCTCTTCTAATGTGAAGGTTTGTCAGGGTTCTTTCACATCTGTTAAGCGTGTTATTTTCAAAATTTCTAGGTCTTTGAAAAGTCTCTAGCTATTTTTGTGCAACTATTGGATAAGTTCAAGGTACACCTGAAGCTCCAGATTGAGGTGAGCTTATTGTGAGAAGTTTTTCTTCATTTTCTTGGTTTTCCCAATTTTTAAAATATAATTTCCAGCTCTGTATGACCTAGGGTTTATTTATGTTTTGTTTAGATGGGTTAAATCCTTCCAAAATATTTTTATATAAAATCTTGACCTTTTGGCGATTAAGATTATCTGTTTTTTCTATGTTCAGGTATTTTTCAAAGAGATTATCATTTCCATGCTAGAGTCATCGTCATGTTCGTTCGAACATAAATGGATCGTTCTTCATACCATTGGTAATATGCCTCAAATTTTTT